AAATATTTATCTTTAACTAGATGATACAATTTTTCGAGAAGTCATTTCCCATATGTAAGTGAAAATTCATTCAAGTATACAAACTTATGTAATTTTGGATTACTGTATTATTAATGCTGCTCATTTCTTTACGATTTACTTAATGCTCTGAACATAACATTTCTGAAGATTCCAAATGCGTATTAGTTAAACCTCACTTTTAATCATAAACAATGAATCGAACTTAAATTTTCACATTAATTAACTCTGTTTATGAAAAAAGCCATCTAAAGCTATTGAACCTTACAATGAAAAAAAGATCATTGTAAACATTTTACACAACAAATAATTGAAATTTACCAATAAAAATATTTTCTGCCGTTTATTTTTCGAAAACTAATTCCATTTTTAGTACTTTGTACAGAAAGTAATTTTTTCATGAGAGCAGCCATATTGAATTAGCGCAAAGCTCGACAACGAACTAGCTAGCACTCCGAGCTTACCAATTTCGCTAAACATGACGTCACATAGCTCTAAAGTAAACGCCAATGAGTGTGGCACTCGGACGAAAGTATACAGGCTGAGCGTGCTGATAGTAAAATTAGCTCAGAAGTAAACGCACCCATAGCAAGGCCACTTGATCGCTTCGCTAGTAGCGAAGCGATCAAGTGGCCTTGGTCATAGTAACACGAGTGAGTTCGATGACGTCAGTTCGAGTACAACACGAAAAACTCGAGACTAAGGGCCCTGACCACCTTTTGGCATCCCTCTTGGCAGATCGTCCACGTGTTCTCTTGCCTTTTCTCGTCAGTTCTACAATCCTTAACTAGAGTGTCGTTAAAACCGAAAACGGCCGGCGACGGGTAGGTTTCCCTCGGACGTGACATTTTACTTAGAACACCGAGGATTAGAAAACAATATTTTAATAAATAAATCAAGAGTTGTGGATTTGAGTCCCATTCTGGACAATTATTTTCTTTCGGAATATTCTAAATTTAAAATTAATTTAATTCTAATTTTTAAATTTATTAGGAGAACAGCTAAACCACCTATCTCTAGCCAAACTGATTTGTTATCTAATTAGTTATTAGGCTCAACATAGCCCAATAGATAATCTGACAGATCATTTGGTAATAGAAATGTGCTGGGTTGTTGTTTATTATGTAAATTACACAATCAATCCGCAAGAAGGAAGTGCAGCTACCCATTCTTTCACAGTTAAGAAAATATTGTGGCAATATAAATTAAAACTTTCAGTTGTATGAAATATGTTGTAAATTCCCGATCTTACAATGGTGGAAGCAATTGTTTCCAATCAAACCCCAACCACTTGTAATGTAATCTGAGTAAATTTTCTTTTTAGCGAAGTTTTACATTTAACAAATATTCTGCCAAATCCGAGAGAAAAGAATTTGTTAAAAATAAACTTTCCTTTAAAAAATGCAATTAAAATACTCGAAATATTACATCTATGACGTAAAACTCGTGACGTAACGCGTGACGCATTGCAACGACAAATTCGAATTCGTTCCATTTCGTATTGTTGCCGACGCCATCTTGGAAATTTATGCTTTCCGGAAATTGCGAGTTCTTTTTCCCTCCATTTTAACATTTTTCGTACAAATTTTAATAATGAAAACTCGCGTAACGTAGGTAACTTAATATTTTTCGATTTATATCAAAATTAAATAATTTAAATTAGATACGCTTTAAACCTAGATTTGCGGCCTGTAACCTGTAAGGT